TGTGGATTGGCTTGTAGTAGTTGGGGATTGGCTTGTTGTTGTTGGGGATTGGCTTGTAGTAGTTGGGGATTGGGTTGTTGTAGTTGGGGACTGGGTTGTTGTAGTAAGTATAGGGGTTGTCGTAGTTGGGAATTTGGTTGTTGTAGTTGGGGATTCGGTTGTAGTAATAAGTATAGAGGTTGTAGTTGGGGACTGGGTTGTTGTAGTTGGGAATTCAGCTGTTGTAGTTGGGGATTGGGTTGTTGTAGTTGGGAATTCAGCTGTTGTAGTTGGGGATTGGGTAGTAGTTGGGGATTGGGTTGTTGTAGTTGTTGGTGCAGCTGCAGTTGTTGATGGACCTGAGAATAGAAAAGTGCTTTAATAAAAATATCATGAGTAAAGAAAATAAGTGGTTCAATTAAACAATAAGGAAAAACTCAAGAATTATTTAACTCACTGTTTCCAACTGTTACAATGACACAGCGAAGCTCAGACTGATACCGAGAACTGGAGACTCTGTGGAAGTATACTCAAATGTAAATATGTTCACTGGACAAAATAAAACTAGGTTTCAATGTCATAAACAAAAGCACTCCCTAGATATATAAACAATTGTTTATACAACAATTGATATCAATGCTTAGTTAATGAATTGTTTATATAATGTTTTGTTGTTCTTTGTTGTAGCTCCTTGTAATAATTAATCCACTGCTTAAAAGTTACATATGTAGTGTGAATACTGTCCAATGTTTTTCCCTCTGTGAAAAATATTTTTCATAATTTTCACTGAAGAAATCCTGCCTAACAAGGTTCTTTAATGAAAACCTTTTTAGGTTGTTTTAACAACTGGAAGCTGATTACTGCATCAAACTGGATTTAAGAAATTACTTAGGTCTCAAACATTTTCATTTCTGTGGCTAGAAGCACTAGATGACTTATCATTTAATACTTTTATATATCATCTTCACGCTATCAATGAGAATTTAAAAGTTAATGTCTCTTAATAAAATGTTTCTGAACAGTTCAGAATAGTGTGATGTTTATCAGACTAGATACTGACGTTGCCTGGACAACGAAACAGATGGGGTGACTTTCTCCACCTTCGGCCACAGATGGTGTCCACGTCAGAGAGAAGCTTCCTGATCCCAATGAACTCTTAGTTACGTTGTACGGCCCGCTGTACAGGAGCTCAGATGATCTTTACCAAACAGGAAATGCAGAGAGTAGTTAGAAATATTTTCCAAAGTTTCAAGCAGCTGCTTTTCTTGATGTCATAATCTAAACGTGTTGACAGACATCTGATTCAAGCATGAGAACTTTTTTTGCCAAGAGATAAGATCAGATTCCTGATTGGATGGCATGACGTACTTACAGCTAAAACCATTTTACTCTTACTTACGTGGCTTGAGTTGCCTGTGAACTGATGATGATCACCAGCATCTGGTTGACTGATGTGTAGAGCTGAGCTCTGTTGTTTGGAGTTGGACTCAGGAATCTGGGCAGATATTGACCTTCTGTGCAGGACGGTGCTGCAGCGTCCACTGAAACAATACAGGGAAACTACAAACTCAGCCATGCTGAAGGAAATACTGACTCATCTGTTTATGCAACAGACCATCATCTAAATGTATTAGTTCAAATCACAAACCCTGATAAAATGTCATGTAAAGAACCTCAAGATATTTGCTGTGATTTGACATTAATTCATTGTAGCCTTTGTTTAAAATTACATATTTCAGGTAAAACATGAGCAAAAGTTGTGTTGCTTCTTTACACAAAGTTAAAAATTGTGATTTAATTTTTCTACACTATAGATGGATATCTATTACAAATGTGCACATATTTTTGTCAATATTCTGCTGAAAAACACACTTTTAAAATTCCTGTGTTTCCATTATCTAAGAGATCAGTTTTTAGAAATGGATCTAAAACTCCACATGAATAAGTTTGTTCACAAAATGAGTCACCATAAAGCATGCAGGCATGCTTCTACCACTTCTTGTTGTTTTCTACCATAAAACTAAAGCTTACTGCTAGTATTTAGTTATAGAAAAAAATCATCGTTGTTACTTTGTACTGCAGCCAACAACAAACTAAAAGTACTTGTTAAGTTACTTTTAGTAACAACTTTTATTATTTATACTAGAAGTAATAAGTACTTCTAGTATTTATTATTGTTACTATAAGTTGTCACTATATGTTGTAACAACTTATTGTTATTTATGGTATCAACAATAAGTTCATACTATAATTGCACTATATCTTATAGAGCAACTTTATAGATGTTACTATAAGTTATATAAACTTGTAGTTTATATTACTATATGTTATGGTTACAACATATAGTAACTATAACTTATATCAACAACTCTATGTTTTCTTACTCTAAGTTGTTATTATTTCACATCACACAAGTGATGTGAAAAATGTCAACTGTGAGTTGTAACTTATAGTAGTAACAACCAGATGTTACTACTGGCTGATGTTATTACTGCCAAATACAAACATTTCAATATTTCTGAAAATCCATCCCATCATTAAAAACATGTCAATGATGATAATGATGACGGATGTACCTTTTAAAACAAACTGGATGGGTATTGTGCTGATGGCATCACTGGTCGTTTTCTGCACCTGAGAACCACCAGTTTGGGTCAGAGTGATGGTCTGCAGGGGAAAGTCCTCCATCACCATCTGGACCACATATGAACCTTGGCTGCTGTTTGCAGATGAGCTGAACAATAAAGTACAAGAGGACTGCAAGAAGAAAAAAGGAAACGGTCAAAACAAACAAAATCTTTTGTGCCAAATAATATTTAGCCCCATAATATGAATCTGACATGAGTTCAGCTGCTGATGCTTACAGATGAGATGCTGAGGTCAGACAGATTCGTGGAGGTGACACACTCTGACAAGGCACTGGAGGCAAATCTGCATCTAACATCGTCTCCATCGGGGTCAAAGGTCAACATGCTTATGTTTCTCTGACAGTTATAAGGAACTCTGTGATAGAAAACATATGCAGACGTATGTCATGAAGAGTCTTTAACAATCATGGTAAAATTAAAAAATGCTCTTCTTTCTATTTTAAGGCTGTTTGACTTTTTTTATCTCACTGGACAGGAAACGTGATCTAGTTTTTACCAGGTTCTAAAATGTTTAAAGGTCTACTATTATGCTTTCTTGAAAGAAATAGAGCATGTTCACTACATTTAATACACAAAATGCACTGCTTTAGAGCTACATCACAATTATGCAAATGAGCTGCTGCTGGCCAAGCCCTCCTGACTCAGTGTTTCCATCAGCACCTGCTACAAGCACTATACTGGGAGAAAATGGGCATATGCTCTGTACTGCAGCAAACAGCAGCCATTGTACAGCATATGTCATGTTCCGTGTTTCTGTGTTTATTTTTGAGTTTCTGTGTAGTCCTGTTCCCTGAGTCTGTCTCTGCGTCTTCCCCGTTGATTGTTTCCCAGGTGTGTCTCATTCCCTTGATTACCCCGTGTGTATTTAAACCCACCTGTTGTCTGTGTTCTTCGTCGGGTCCTTGTCAATTGTTGTCTAAGTTTGTCTTACGTCTTGTGTTCGCTCCAGTAGAACTGTTAAGTCCTGGATAGCGTTAGCTCTCGTTTCCAGTCCTGTGTGTCAGTTGCTACCGGTATTTGGCTTTGTGCCTGTCTCTCTGTCGTGCTGCCTGTTTTTGGACTGTTTCGAGCATCATCTTTATTAAAACCATCATATTCGTACATCCTGGGTCCGCCTGCGTCATCTCCTCACCACCTCAACCACACCTCCTGACAATCCAGAAGAATAAACTTGGTGTCTCTTGTAATGAAGTGGTAAGGGTTCACTTGTGTGTAAAAATGGGTTTGGCATGGGTTTACGAGCTAAAAAACAAAAAATGTGATTCAACAGTTTAGAAGTTTTTGAACCAGGCTGTTGGTTCAAAAAGCAGCAGAACATTTACTTATTCCCAAAGGAATGGCTGGGTGTTTTTTGTTGTTGTTTGTTTTGTTTTGTTCTTTGACTGCTTCTAGAATAGAAGGACATGCAAAAAGTGAAATTTGCATAACAGTGGACCTTTAAATCATCCTTCATGTTTACAAGACACACAGCAGATCTCACCGAGGATTTGACTAGATTAGAAAGAAGGAAAGGACGAGAAAAAAACAACAAAAACTGAAATGTAAAAAATAACTGATATATTTCAGTTTGTGTAAAAGAATGATTGATCTAACATCTAGCAGAATTACCTCAGAGCTGGGAGGACGGTTGTCTGCGGTGATGTGTTGGCTTTGCTGATGTCAGATCGGGTCCTTAGTTCAACGTTAGTCACAGCTCTCCAGGATCCAATTCCATGCACATTACTTATCCAGGCTGAACTAGCAAATCTACAATGAAAGTAAAGTTAATTTACAACAATCTGATGCATTTTGGTGTTTTATGGCTTTAATTAGAGGAATCCAACAGCCAAGCTCTTTCCAGATATCTTGTGATTAGCCGAGCCACTGATACTTTAGAGCAGGCGTGTTAGATCTAATATTTCTTCTGTGATATGGGAAGAATAAAGAGTCCAGAAGGACTTACACAAGTGTAAGTGGAGAGTTGCTGGTCAGCTGTCGAGACGTCACTGCTTCTCTCTGGCACCATTCACCACTGATTTCATCAACTTTGGTTAAAGGAAGGATCTGGGTCTCAGTCCCACAGTTTCCACTGCAAGACCAAGAGTCAGTGTGTGTGCAAAGGTCATAGCTCACTTTGTAGTGAAGCTCAACCTGAAGATTTAAAGCGAGAAGGCGGTAAGTACAATCAAATGATGAAAGAGTAGCTTTGAGAATCCCCAAAGATTTAACTTACAGAAGTAGATCCGTTTATGTAAGAGGCCTTTGGGTAGTAGGTCATCATGACGCCATAGAAATGTGAAGCGTAAGAATCTCTGACCAGCAGCAGCAGCAGAACCACAGAGAGGAACATGATGGCTGTGAAAGTGTCTCCACACAAAGTCAGAGTTTGTTAGAAACCAGGAGGTTTGATGTGATCCACGCCCTCTCACTGATTACTGTCTGTCCCAGAAATTTGGCTTTACACAGAAACCTGGCATGAGGAACGCTGATTTGACTGAAAGATAATGATCAGAGATAGAGTGAGTGAAGTGAAAACAGGGATGTGCAGACAGAATTATTTATGAATATAGATCTCTAGAAAAGATTTAGAGCCCATTGCATTGAGCCCCATAGAAAACCTGATGATTATTCCACCAGATATTGATTTCTGAAGGTTTCCTGAGTTAAAACATTAGTATTGTTGTTTCTAAGTCAATATAAACTTGTTTTGTTGCATTATTTGAGGTCTGAAAGCACTGCATCTTTTTCATTATTTCTTCTAATATTTTAGTAATCCTAACTGACCTTAAAAAGAAAAAGTTTAGGCTGACTTGCCATCAGCTCATCTGAAACTGTGGATTTAAATATCACATTTCCATTGAATCCGTGTTTAGAATAAACTCAGAGGAAGGTCTTTCATGCAGCCAGATTCAAATGAAACCTTTTTTTAAAACGTGGGTCTAACAAACAGCTGCAGTGTGAACCATAATTTGTTTAGCTGCTATTTTAAATGTGATTTGCCTGTTCAGATGGATTTGCTTCTGCTCTGATGGTGATAAAAATAGCCTGATTGATGCAGGTAGAACTGAGCTCTGTGGTTTAGTGTTGGAGGCAGGAATAGGAGGAGCTCTGTGCATGATCACAAGATAATTAGATCTACTGGAAAAACAGAAAAATATGTTAAATTAAATCAATCAAGTTTATTTCCATAGCACATTTCAGCAACAAGACAGTTCAAAGAGCTTTATATCATAAAAACACAAAAATACAAAGTTCTGGAAAACAGTCAACAATTGTCAAGTGCCGTTGATACACATCAAAATGTTGGTCAATGTTTCATTATGTTTNGGGGATTGGGTTGTTGTAGTTGGGAATTCAGTTGTTGTAGTTGGGAATTCAGTTGTTGTAGTTGGGAATTCAGTTGTTGTAGTTGGGGATTGAGTTGTAGTTGGGTATTGAGTTGTAGTTGGGGATTGGGTTGTAGTAGTTGGGAATTCAGTTGTTGTAGTTGGGGATTGAGTTGTTGTAGTTGGGAATTCAGCTGTTGTAGTTGGGGATTGGGTAGTAGTTGGGGATTCGGTTGTTGTAGTTGGGGATTCGGTTGTAGTAGTTGTGGATTGGCTTGTAGTAGTTGGGGATTGGCTTGTTGTTGTTGGGGATTGGCTTGTAGTAGTTGGGGATTGGC